CCGTTCAGTTAATGCATATCATGAAATGTTCAGCTGCAAGGTCACGGACAGCTCTGCCAGTTTGGACTTCAGGAGAGGCGGTACTCAAGCTACTGGCTAGTTTTTAATACCAGGCATGTTGACATAGGACAGCTAGAATGGTGAGGTCCCACTTCTTTCTTCTTGTTCAGTCCTTTGGTATGCTGAGGAAGTTAGAGGCAGAAGAATCGACTGAGGCCTAAAGACCTTGAGAAACATAAGGCTTGGGCGGTGTGTTGGCAAGTGGACTTCCATGGAGGGGAGAATGCCTTGTAGGCTGTGGCTTAGCAAAGGGATCAGGGAGAGCCAAAGCTGAGCTGGAAACTAGCAAGGGAGATGAAGGGCAGCAAGGAAGGTTGCTGTAAGTACAGCTGCAGCAAAAGAAGGACTTAAGGAGAGAGAGTGTGGGCCCATCATTGTGCCGGGGGACCTAGTGACAAGGGATATGCAAAAGACTCAGGTATTCAGGCAGATATATTTGTTTGCACTAGTATGTTTTGCCTTCAGGCCTCCAAGGCCCCTAAACCTCCTAGCAGAGTCTGTGAGAGTGAAGCAGTATCCACCATTAAGAAAAATAGTTAGGGATCACTTAACCCAACTATGCACAAGTTAGTGGGACCAGACGGCTTACCTCTGAGGGTGCCAAAGGAGCTGGAAATGTAATTGTGAGACCTTTCTCTAGCATCTTTGAAAGGTCGTGGCAATTGGTGGAGGTGCCCGATGGCTGGAGAAAGGCAAATGTCACGCCCATCTTCAGGAAGGGCAGAAAGGAGGATCCAGGTAACATCAGGCTACTCAGCCTTACCTTGATCCTTAGGAAGGTCATGGAGGAAATCTTTATAAAAGCCATTTCTTGACACATGCAGGACACAAAGGTGACTGGGAGCAGCCAACCAAGGTGAAGTGGACCGATCCTGTGGGTCACAATTAGGTTGCTCAGCTGGTGTTGGCAACAGGGTTTTGGCTTTTATGCTCATGGGACCCTCTCTGAGGATTGAGGAGTACTTGGAAGAAGTGGCATCTGTCTGACTAGATGGGACAAAAGCATCTTTGCTAACAGGCAGGCCAGCCTGGTGAGGAGAACTTTAAGACAGTAACAATCCAGGAGGGATATGACAACCCAGTCAAGTGAGGAGGCAGTGGACTGGGTTAGGCAGCAAAAGGTACAGGATGATGTGAACAGAAGGGATCTTGTAATCAACAAAACAGGACTGAAAAGGACCTACTTCAAGTGTATGCACATAAATAAGGAAGTGCCTGTGAGACAGCAGTATGTGGAACACTCCCATACGTTTTCTGGGAAATCAGTGTGACTGGGTGCCTCTCTGAAGTGTCTGTACACTGATGTGTGCTACATGGGGAACAAATAAGAGGAATTAAAGGTCATATGCCATTACAGGGCTACAATCTCATTGGGGTCATGGAGATGTGGTGGGTTAGCTCATGTGATAGCAATGCTGCAACAGGCAGGTACAAGCTCTTTAGGAAGCACAGGCAAGGAGGGGAATAGATCTTTGTGTGAAGGAGCAGCAGAACTGCACAGGGCTTTATCTTGGGACATGAGGAAGTTGAGAGTTTATGGGTCAGGATTAGAGGGCAGACCAGAACAGCCAACTTTGGTGGTAGTGTTTGCCACAGGTCATCTGATGTCAGCAACAGGGTTTTGGGTTGAAGTAGATGAGGCCTTCTTCAGACACATGGAAGAAACCTCACAATTTCAGGCCCTGGCCCTCATAGACGGCTTTAACCATCCTCATATGTGCTGGGAGGGCAACACAGCAGGGCACAAGCAGTCCAGGAGGTTTCTCGAGTGCTTTGATACCAACATCCTAACACAGATGATCGAGGAGCTGGTGAGGGGAGATGTTGTGTCTGGACCCCATACTTACAAACAAGGAATTACTGGTTGGGCATGTGAAGATCAGGGGCAGCCTTGGTTGCAGTGATCATGAGATGGTGAAGTTCAGGGTCCTGAGAGGAGGGGACAAGACAGATTGCAGGATTGCAACCCTGGACTTCAGGCAAACGGACCTTGGCCCATTCAGAGATCTGCTTGGAAGACTCCTATGTGATACAGTTCCTGAAAAAAAAAGAGTGTACCAGCAGATCTGGTTGGTTTTCGAGGATCATGTCCTCCAAGCTCAAGAATGGCTCATCCAGTGCATAGGAAGTCAAGCAAAAGTGTCAGGAGGCCTGCATGGATGAATGAGGAGCTCCTGACTAAACTAAAACACAAAAATGAAGCACACAAGAGGTAGAAGTAGATCAGGTGACCTGGGAGGAATATGGAGACACTGTCTGAACATGCAGGGATGGATTAGGAAAGCCAAAGCCCACCTGGAGTTGAAGCTGACAAAGGATGTGGAGGGCAACAGGAAGGGCTCCTACAGGAATATCAGCAAATGGAAGACTTAAAGAAAACATGGGCCTGCTGCTGCATGGGAATGGGTACCTGGAGACAGAAGACATGGAAAAGGCTGAGGTATCCAGTGCTTGCATTGATTGCCTTGGTTCTTTACTGGTAAGACTTCTTTTCAGCAGTCCCAGGCTGCTGAGATCAGTCACGAATGTCTGGAGCAATGAAGTCTCAAACTCAGTGAAGGGAACTCAGGCTACAGAACGTTTAAACTAACATCCATGGGACCTGATGGTATACACCCACAAGTTTTGAAGAAGTTGTCTTGTGTCGTTGTGTGGCCACTCTTGTTTATCTCTGAAAGATCATTGCAATCAAGGAAAGTTCCTGAGGACTGGAAGAAAGCAGATGTCGTCCTGTCTTCAGGAAAGGCAAGAAAGGAGATTGGAGAACTACAGGGCAGTCAGCATCACCTGGATCTCTGGGAAGGCCATGAAACAAGCCCTCCTAGAAATCATTTTCAGACACATAAAGAACAGTAGAGTGACTGGAGGTAGTCAGCACAGACTTATGGAGTGGAAATCTTGACTAACCTGATAGCTGTCTATGATGAGGTGGATGACTATCTTGGTGGGTGAAGGGAGAGAAGTGGATTTTGTTCATTTTGACCTTGCTTTTTGTACTGTCTCCCATAATATCCTCAGACAAACTGATGAAGTACAAGTGAGAGAAGTGGGCAGTGAAGTTGATTGAAACCTGGCTGAACTGATGGGCCCACAGGGTTGTGGTCAGTGGCACAAGGTCCAGCTGGAGGCCAGTCACTAGTGGTGTACACCAGGGATGAATATGGGGGCCAATACTGTTCAGTGTCTTCATTCACAACTTGGGCAGCAGGACAGAGCGTGCTCTCAAAAAGCTTGTGGCTGATGTAAACCAGATGAGCAGTTGATATGCCAGTTAGTTCTGCTGCCATTCAGAGGTGAGGAAAGGGTCAACAGGAACTTCTTGAAGTTCAGCAAAGGCAAATGCAAAGTCCTGCCCCTGGACAGGAGTAACCTCATGCACCTGTAGGAGCTGGGAGCTGACCAGCTGGAAATCAGCTTTACAGAAAAGGCCCTGGGGGTCCTGGTGAAGACTTAAGTTGAACATGAGGCAGCAATGCAGCTTTGTGGCTAAAAAGGCCAACAGCACCCTGGGCTGCATCAGGAAGAGCCTCACTAGAAGGCCTGATGGGGCGATCCTTCCTCTCTGCTCAGCCTCTCTGAGACCACATCTGGAGTGCTGTCCCTTGTGCTGGGCTCCTGAGTACAAGATAGACCTTGGCATACTGCAGAGAGTCCAGCGGAGGGTCACTAGTATGGTCAGGGGCTGGAGTATGAGAAGAGGCTGAGAGAGCTGGGATTGTTTAGCCTGGAGAAGAGAAAGCTTAGGGTGAATCTTACCAGTATGTGTAAACACCTAATGGGAGGGAGCAAAGAAGAGGGAGCTAGGCCCAGTGAAAGGACAAGAGGCAATGGGCATGAACTGAAATACAAGAAATTCCTTTTAAAGAAGAAGCTTTTTTACTGTAAGACTGATAGAACAGAGGAACAGTTTCCCCAGAGAAGTTGTGTAGTCTTCATCCTTGGAGATAGTCAAAACCAGACTGGACGTGGTCAGTTAACATCCTGCTCGAGTTGACTTTGTTTTGAGTGAGGATGTCAGACTGGATGATCTCCAGAGGTCCCTTCCTACCTCAACCATTCTATGATTCTATAAAAGCATGCGTGACCAACTGGTTGCTTTCTTCCACGAGGCAAGTGGTGCTGTGGACAAGGGGAGTCAGTGGATTTTGCATACCTTGGCTTTAGCAGGGCCTTTATCCCAGCCTCCCATTGTGTCCTTGAAGCCAAATTGGTGAGATATGTACTGAATATCTGGACAAGAAGATGGGTGGAAAATTTGCTGGTCTATCTATGGAGTTATGATTGTTAGTGCAAAGTCCACTTGGCAGGTATTAATTAGGGGCAGGCCCCTCAGAGATCAATACTGGGACCAGTACGATTTAATGTCTTCCATTAGTGACCTGGATGATGGGATAGAGTGCACTTTAAGCAAGTTTGTGCGTGATCCAAAATTGGTGGGAATTGTTGATATGTTGGAAGGAAGGGCTGCTATTCAGAGAGACTGTGGCAAGCCCAAGAAATGGGCTGACCGGAACTTCATGAATTGGAATGTCCTGCTTCTGGGATGGAATAACCCCAGGCTGCAACAGTGCAGGCTGGCAGGGGGCAAGTGCTTGGGAGTAGCTCCGCAGAGAAGGACCCATGGATCTTGCGGACAACAGGAGTCAACAGCGCACTCTTGCAGCTAAGAAGGCCAACCATCTCCTGAGCTGTATTAGTGGGAGTGTGGCCAGTAGGTTGAGGCAAGTGGCCCTACTCCTGTAGTTGACACAGTGCTCTAGATGTGATCTCACAAGTGCCCAGTTCTGGAATCCTCAGTACAAGAAAGATGTGAACACACTGGAGCGGATCCACCAAGACAGTCAGAAGGCTGGTGCATGTGACATTAAAGGAGAGGCTGAGAGAACTGGGTCTGCCCAGCCTCAAGAAGAGAAGGCAAAGAGGAGACACCTTGTTGCTGTCTACAGCTGATTAGAAGCTATAGCGAAGCTGGAGCCAGACTCTGCATGGAGGTGCGCGAGAGGTGGTGGACACAAGGTGGAACATGGGAAATTCTGCCTAGATGTAAGGATTTGATTTAATTTTTTAAGCCATGGGGGTGGCCAAACACTAGCACAGGTTTCCCAGAGAGGCTGTGGAATCTCTATCCTTGAAGGTGTTCAAGATTTGACATGACCCTGAGCAAGCTGATCTGATGAGAACTGCTTAGAGCAGTACGCTGGACTAGTTGATACCTGGAGGTTGCTTCAAAAAATTTTTTTTCCGTACTTCTGCAATTTACTAGGATTCTGATTTTCATTTTTGTTTTCAAATGTGAACTAGAGATCTAAAAATGTATTTGACTTCATTTCAGTTGTAGGTAGACCTGCTCCTTGAAAATACTTTATTTTTAAACAGACTTCTTGAACTCTCCATAACATTCTACTCTCTTTATTTGCCTCCTTAAATGTACTGCATTTCGGTTGCCTGACTTCGGTATTATATTCGCTCTGAGCACAAATTCTGTAAAGAATTTCCTTCAAGGAGAGGCTTAACATGATGATCTTTAACCTTCTAGATTTGGAGACTTGTATGTGGGAGGACAATATGTCTTGATTTGAAAGACACATTCTGCAGCAGTCTGCTCATTTACAACTTTAGAATATTTGAAAGAAGATATGGCAGCAGAAAATTTTCAGTAAGTTCCAGTTACATTTTTTTTAACAGAAATTATTTTCTACACTGTTTAGAATCTTGTAGTCTTGGATTAATATTGCGGTTTTGTTACTAACATTTTGTATAGAAATACATGTTAAAGGGTTTTAAAGAGAATTTGGTTTCCATAAATCTAAATTTATATTGATAATATCTTGCAGTCAAATGGATTACTCTAAAGTTTGCAATTGTATCAGTTGAAGGTTCCAAGACCCACAGAACTTAATTTTGATAACAAATCTTAAGTCTCCATTTTTCTGTATCTAGACATGTAGATCTGGAATTACGTGTGCTGAAGATTTTATTCGTCTTAATTGAACTAGTATAGTGGTTTTCATGTTCTTTTATTTAGAGATACTTTCAAACTTTCTTTTTAAACTGTTGAATTAATTGAAATTAAACTTTTTCTTTCCAGTCCTTTTTACTGGGTGCTTGGATGCTCTCAGCTTTGTTTGATCTTCTCCTAGTAGAAATCGCGCAGTATATATTTGGCATCACCATCAACAGTTTGCCTTCTGGTTTGTAAGTAGCTCCTAATGGATTTGTTATTTTAGATATAGTTTCAAGGGATTATTTTATGCAGATTTTAATTTTTAAAAAAACTGTCTTCATGTAACCCTTCAAATTAAATTTAATCCTCTTTTGAACTACAGTGTAAAGGTTCTTGGCACAACTATTATATTTTCAAACATTCATTTCCTAGTTGTGATCTGTGGTTAATTAATTTATAATTTATCCATATAATGATTACTTTCCGTTCTGTTAGTCCCATTTCCACTGTCAGCAAGATTGAAACACAGCTTGCAGTGCACAGATTATTGCTATATTTGGTTTTGTTCAGTTTTGTAAATCTGAAAACTGAAATCAGGTTGGTGCTAATTTCTTTCTTAAATCACAAAGAGAGCACAAATAATTCATACCTTTATGGTCACTTCAAAATGCAGATGCAGTTATATCCATTTCATACTGGTATTTTGTATGTTTGTGTTCTGAAGTTCTTAAAGCTTTAAGGTATTTAGTTGTTCAGTTTTGCATAGCCTATATTTGAGATTTCTGCACTTAGAGATGTACATGTTACAGTAGAACTGTAGAGCTTGCAGAGCCTTTGTGGTTAAGCTTCTGACAGGTGAGATCAGCCTCCTGCAGACTTGAGTTTCCATGTGTACACTCTGAGGTAATAATAAAAGCTATTGGAGTGAGATTTTTTAATACTAAAAACGGTATTAGTCTTTTTTATTTCTACTTTTTTGCATGTCTCTTGGAAGTAGCTAAAAGCTGATTTGATAAGGAAGAAAAAGCATGTGTTTGACATTATAGAGTTGTATTTTTTATAGTGTGTGAGTATTCAAAAGGGGTTGAAAGCTTGCGTAGTACTGCAGTTACTCCTAGTGTTTGCTACCTAAAAGTTTGCTGCTGGGACATAGGCTGCTAGTGTGTCTGCACAAACTCAGTGTTTTAATCTGTGTAAAAAAGATACTTAGTGCAAGAGTAAGGTGTAATAAATGTGCACGTCATACCCACAGGGAACTAATAAACAGTTTGACTATCATACCTTTTGATGGTATTTTTATCTATGACTGCAGAATGTTGTCAATTACAAAGAAATCTGCATCAAAGAAGTTTTTAGTTGAATTAAATATAAATGTTATCTACATATGCTTTCTCTTTAAGTCATGCTGACATTGATCATGAGAGAATGAGGCTAATTTTAGAAGTGTGGTATATATAGTAGTTTCAGGAGCGTTTGGTTGTGCAAATATAAAAAATTAATGTATACGTTGCATCATCGTTTTTCAGTGCTGTCTGCTTTATTATACTAGTAGTCACTTTATCATGTCTGACAGTATTCACAGTCTTTTGAGATGACAAAAGCATTGGAAAGTTTAACACTGATACTAGGTTTTAATTTCATTTCAGATGAAAAAAACCTGTTGAGCAAATATAGAGGTGCAATTATTATTCTGCTTCTCTCATATTTGCAGTGCAACAAATCTATCTGTTACTTCTGGCTGTAGAACATTCTTCAGTGTAGTCAAAATGCTAGAATTCAGAAAAATAATCACTTGTTTACATTATGAAAGTCCCCTGACATTTTTTTCTCTTTTTATATCATTTCACTGTTCATATTACTGAGTGATCTTACACTTGCAGTTCGAAAACTTTTCCTGCGCACACTTCGAAGGTAATTGCGATAAAGGATTACACTGATGACTCTCGCCTGAAATTGTTTAGAAACAATGTAGTACAGTATAACATCCAAGCATGTGCTGAGATTCATGAGGAAGGTGGTAAAGGCTGCCCAGGGATTGTAAGTTGTATCTTCAGCTTGCAGCATCAGGAAGGCAAAGCAAATGTGGAAGGGTACAAAGCAGACAAGTACTTGAGCAATCAGAGTAACTATAATTCTTATGGATCTCTCCTTGGCCTTAGGCTTCAGTTTGGAAGTCTTGCCATGGATAAAATTGTAAATAATGACTAGGTAACACCCCATCATGATAAACAAGGGAATCAAAAAGAAAAAAATCAAGCGAGAAAAGTTCAATGTATTTACTTCCTTTAAATGGATGATATCAAGCATTTTCATGCAGGTGGTGAAATTCGAGGCTTTGTCTGGATCAGATTGTAAAAACAGCAATGGGGACGTTGTTGCGAGGGTCATCACCCAGATTCCAGTGCATGCCAGCACAGCCTTTTTTGTATTTTTTAGTTCTTTGACATGTTTGGGCTGGACAATAGCCATAAATCTGTCTACGCTTATAAAAGTGAGCAACCAGAGAGCAATGGCTGGATAAAATACAGTGAAGGCACTGATAATCCGACAGAATGTATCTCCGAAAGGCCACATTTCTTTCCCATGATAAATTATCCGAAAAGGCAAGGAAAATATAAAAATTATGTCAAGTAATGCCACATTCATCATATATATAGTTATAGTTGTTCTCTTCTTGGTAGTGCAGCTGAAAACCCATAGTGCAGTGGCATTCACCAGCAATCCCACTGTGAATACAAAACTGTAGAAGACCAGTGATGCAATCCTGTATTCTTCAGGGTGATGATTTCCAGCCATCATATTTTAATTGAATTTAGGAATGGTTGTTGCACTCTATAAATATCCTAAAAATAGATACAATATGAAAAGTTACTATCAGTCAAATCAAAACTTTTTCTAAAAACAAACAAGAAGATTGTTGTAGGTTGGGGCTTAGTTATGAGATGGTATTGTTTAATACATTTGGCTGCGAAAATGTACTAGCTTTGTTGCTATTTCTGACTACAAATACATTATTGTGCTCTGAAGGAGGTACTTTTACTGTCAGACCTGTGAGAAATAGTATTTATAAGCTAGTTTTAATTCAATATTTTTAATTACTTAAGAGATTTCTTATATAAGGAATCAAAAAGTCAAGATGGACCAGCAACTCTGAGTATGGTTCAGCA